CCTAGTACGATCAACAGCAGCCTTTCGGGCTCTAGATGTACGGCTGATACCGGGGCCAGCCTATCTGTGCCCAAGGACTGTAACATGGTCACTTGACCAGCTTGAGTGCTCAAATAGATAAAAGGACTGTTCTGCACACTAGGCCCTTGTACCAGTCAGACATGACCTTCCACAGGGAGGCAATCGGGTCTTCTCCATACCACTAGCTCGCCGTCCTCCGGGAGCCGCCCAGTTGACGCAACCATTCTGCGCACTGCGTCCGCCGTATGGTTATTTACGAGCGCTAATCGGGCACGACTCATATAGCCCGACAATGTGGCTGTGACGGTCTTACAAGTGGAAGTAGAACATCCGATAGGAGATGGGTCATCGCGGGACTCATCATCTCGCTCCAGAGTCTCCGACACGACATCGGCAACGTTACAAATCCTAGTAACCATCATGAGTTCGGACGGCGTTACCCCGACTGCATTCACCGTTGAATTAACGGAGAGTTGTACCCAGGATAATGCATCATCCCATGGGATTCTTATATTCTGTAGACGATCTTTAACGATACCGATACGTTTCTCGGCCACCCCGTTGGCCCAAGGCGAGAAACTCGGGATTCGACAGACACGGACCCCAACCGTCACCATCTCACGGCAGAACTCTTCGGTTGTAATAGCATTATCTGCAATGATGGTGTGTGTAAATCCGAAAATATGTACTCATGATTTGATGACGTGTCTTACGGCAGTTGTAGTCTTGACATTTTCAACAGCCCGCACAATAGTGAACCCAGTAGCAACGCATACGATACAGATAAAGCCAATATATTTCGTATCACTGGCCGGAACCCAATCTTGGCGAGGATAGCCGTAATCTAGAGCGACGTGTTTGCCACGCTCAGTAAGGACCGCCAAGCCTCGCGGAACTCGGAGGCAGGGTATACTATGTAAACGCATATTCTTCCGACCTTCTAAACAACAGTCACATCCCTGGATCCACCGTCGGATTTCCGCGGTGCAGTTCGGCCACCAGAAATGTCTCACCATAGCTTCTAGGGCGCTGTCAACACCCTGATGACAGGATAAATCGTGAAATTCGAAGGATATCCATTCACGAATACTCCAGCCAGGTAAATAATTGGTGGAAAGTAAAGTCGGCAAGCTGCTATATGAGACTTGCGGAATTACCAAAGACCATGTGACCTCATCCTCCAAAGTATTACGAATTATGTATAGCCCTGGACGCCAGGAAACCATCCCAACGTCCAACGCTGCCACAGCTGAAGGAGGTAAAACTACGGCGCCGTCGTTATCGAAGTACAAACACCAATCAGCTAGAGATAGACCATAAACCTTAGTGTCTCCGTCATTCTGTTGCTGCTCGATGAGGAACGGTTTGGCGTCGTCCATCGTTTTTCTCAAGTCGAGCATGTCATTGATGTCAGTGCTTCGCAGTGTAGAGCAATTATCATCATGGTCTACAATGTAGACCATGATGATAATTGTGTATGACAATGTAGACTCTACATCACTAGCACTGTTGCTACCGCCTGCTGCTGTCACAATTGCGGCGATCAGAGCGAGTGGCTTGCACGTTCCTTCCTCGAGGACAGCGTTCTCCTCGGGTAGTAGTCGAGAGAAGATATCTGATAACTGGTTATATAACCATCGTCGGTCACGGTTTCCTTGTGGCTTCAAAGTGTAGGTGATACGGGCTAGAAATCAACCCAGAGCGGCGTTCGAATCTGTAAATGCCAGGACCCGCCCAATTCCAGAACTACCCTGATCGCCACGACAGCGGAACCGCAGGCGCAGGATGGATTCGAGTATACGATGACGCCGGTGGAGTAAAGACTTGGTGAGGCGGCCTCACTGAGGCCAAATAGCTCCTTGTCAATAATGTCATACCGACGCTCTGGCTTCGTCCATCTGTGCGTCCATATGCCTATCTGATAGGCTCGAAGTAGGACAAAGTAGATAAGGGAAGTCGGCAAAATAGGTCCGTAACTTCGGGAAAAGGACTGGCTCTGAGGTTTGGTATGTGGAACCTGGATTAATCGTTGGAGTCGAGCAGAGACTACTTGTTGCTCACGTGACTTGTGGACTCCTTGCTTGATACCTTCAATTGATCCAGGCTGCTTCGGCGCTCTGCATGCACTTAACAAACAGCTCAGAACTGGAGCGGACAAGGGGAATCCGACTGTTTAATCAAAACAAAGCATTGTGATGGCCTCAAAAGGTGTTGACACAATGTGATTTCTGCCCAGTGCTCTGAATGTCAAAGTGATGAAATTCAAACAAGCGCGGGTAAACGGCGGGAGTAACTATGACTCTCTTAAGGTAGCCAAATGCCTCGTCATCTAACTAGTGACGCGCATGAATGGATTAACGAGATTCCCACTGTCCCTATCTACTGTCTAGCGAAACCACAGCCAAGGGAACGGGCTTGGAATAGTCAGCGGGGAAAGAAGACCCTGTTGAGCTTGACTCTAGTCTGAGATTGTGAAACGACTTATGAGGTGTAGCATAAGTGGGAGCTCCGGCGCACGTGAATACCACTACTCGTAATGTGTTTACTTATTCTATAAGCGGAGCTGCGCTCTCGAGTGCAGTTTGGATTACAGTGATGCTGCATCGACATCGTGTAGATGACATCTCA